GTTGGATAATGACCAATGGATAATGGATAATGACCAATGGATAATAATCTTGGAAAATAAAAATATATGGTCTTATATTGAGAAAATCATTATGTTTTAGTCCTATTTAAGTTAATTACCCTTTATATAACTATTTGATGATACAAAATTAATTTTTTAAAGAAATACTAAAATTAGACTTTATCATTAAATAACTTTTTTCATACTGTTAAATTAAATGGCAGTATAAACGAGCCCTTAACCAAGACCAAGAGTTCTACACTTCTGTCTATTCTTTTCTACTCGACCTAGCCTATCTTAACAATAGTAGACGCTTTCTAGAATACCTTACATCCCGGTATTAAATAATGAAAAAAACTATATTAACCCCACTTTAACCTTACTTTTGACCCTAATTGTCTTCACATACATTACAGATACGGAACACTGTTTCGTGTATGTAATGTCTATGAAAGCAATGTGGGTCAAAAGTGGGGTTAAAGTAGAGTCAATATAGCATGGCTCTTGAGTAATCTACTTGAATCTTTGAAATTGTGATTCTTAGAATATAAAAATATTTTTTGAGCATACAACAACAAATTTGAGTTTTTGATTGAGTTGGTTTTTTTAATTTACATGGTGAGAGCCAAGTGGTCATAAGTTCAAACAAACTCATCATTGCGTCATCACCTAGTTTTAAAAAATTTGTACAAGGCTCGATATGGTCACACCTGCACGTGAAGAGATCGAACACTTTAGGATATGAAAACATTTTGTGACTAGCAAAAATTTGAGTTTTTTGTTGACTTGATTTATGGTCAGTATCTTTCTATTAGAAAGAGTCACAATCAAATGGTTCGACAACAAGATCTTTAACTTTATATCTTAATTTTAGTACACTGAATTATGGTATTTATACTACTGATTTTAGTGTCAATAAAATGGAACGACTTCAGAAGAATAGAGACAGTCAACAGATTACTACTCCGTAGTATTCAATAATTTTTTTAAATTAATTCTCTGTAATTTTCATAGATATTTTTGGTTAAGGAAATGAAAATTGTTAGCTAAGGGGTTTGAAATTCCATTGGATTCAACTCAATAGAATTGACGGAATTAGAATTGAATTGACGGAATTGACGGAATTGAGTTTTTGAATTGACGGAATTAGAATTGAATTGGAATTGAAATTCCATTGGATTCAACTCAATAGAATTGAATTCTACCAATTCCAATTCATTTTTTTTTGCACTATCAATTCCAAATTTACAAAATTTTTGTGCTACCAAACACAAGAATTAGAATTGAAGTCCTCAATTCCAATTTTATAATTTGAATTCCATTTACCAAATGGGGCCTTAAAAAATTGAAAGACAAAAAAAACCACTAAATTTACATGTACCAAAAGCATATTTGAAATTCTTATGCAAAAATTGTTCAACATTTTAATTTGAATAATTAAGGGTAACTAAAGCTCCTCAAGCTTAACTAGCGAGTATATGTATTATTCAAGGCTAATTGTGTAATGAGTAATTTACCTAAATAAGACTAAAACATAATAACTTTCCCAATATAGAACCATATGTCTGATCCATTTGTCCCGGGCTCTAAAAAAAATACTCCATTTGTCCTGTATTTTTTAGTTTATACACATCAAAGTTTATAAAATTTATGACAAAATAAAAATACAGTTAAAATTTATTAAAATTAAAAGGAATTAAAAATAAGAACCATACACTTCATTTTGAAAAAATAAAATATTACAAAAGGTCCAATTCAGAAGAGTAAAAACTTAAATACGAGACCAAAGTTCTTTTTCTACACAAAAGAAAAACGTTTGACACCATGAAATTAGTCTCTTTTTTGGGACAAAAAATATTTATAAAGAAATATATTAATCTTTTTATCTGCCCAAAAGAGAGATTGTTTTTATTGAAAGGAAGGAGCTAGTATTGGTTGAACTTATAATAATTAAGACAAATTAATTTTATGTTTTTAATTTTTGAGAATATAACTTGGGAGTTGACAACAATTTAATGAATGAGATTTTGGGGGTGGGGAAGGATAGGATCGACAAAGGGGTCCCAACGAATGGGGAAAGAGCAGTGGTTAAATAGTAAGGCCCCATCACAATATGGGTCCGTACCCTAAACTGTAGGGCAGGCGCCTTAAAGTTTAAACAAAAACAAAACAAAACGGAGTAGTCCCCTACCCTACGGGCCGGCCCGTAAACGGGACGAGACTACGAGAGTAAACAAACGGAGAAACTTCTGACTCCGTATGACGGACGGTTGACGGCAAGCACTGTGCCATAGCCCATGACGGCAAGCGGTCGGCTGTCGGCTGAGGAAAGTTGTCCCAACGGTCATTTCTTACTCAGTCATCATTTATTCATCATTTTATTCTACTCTAACTTCTACTCCTCAAATATAGTAACAACCTTGTTACACTTACACCAACAAGTATATATCAAAATTACACTAATATTCCGGTAGTTCATACTGACACAAAATGGTAGTACGTTAAAAAAAATTTACACTAACATTTTGTGTCAGTGTGAACTAACATTTTGTGTCACCCGAACATTACACTGGTACAAAATGAAGGTGCACATCTGTAATTTATAAATTCGGGAACAAATCTTGGGGTACAAATAACTTAATCCATATTGATGGGTAATAACTCATGGATACCACCCGGTTGATTCACCCGACTGGGTGGTGATGGAAGTGACAGCACACACCCTTCTCAGCCCGAGTTATTTGGCTGGCCGGATGGGAAGGCCGGAAGTACGAGGATTTGACCGGTCAGCCGCCTGACCGGTTGGATAATCAGAGACGTGCTAGACGTGCTTAGAATTATTATAAATACCCCTAAAAGCCTCATTTGCGAGGCATGCTTTAATTAATCCACACGGCCTGTACTGATTGTAATAGTCCCAACTATCATTAATAACAAGCCGGGTTACAAGTGTTTCCACCTACAACCCTTCCGATCACTTATACTTAGTATTTGCGTGGTAATTTACACCATCACATATAGTAATCCATACTTGGGGCAAAGTACCATAGAGATCCTTGTACAATTTTAAAATATTCAAATTATTCTATAAGCATAAAATTGAAACTATTCAGAGAGCGTTTGGTTCATGTTGAGGAAAGGGAAAGGAAACAAGAAAGGGAATCGAGGGGAAGGTAATGGTTACCCCTGAATTACTCTGTCTGTTTGGTCCAGTATAGGAAAGGGAATATAATTTCCTCTGTTTTTGAGGGGTTTCAATTGAATTCTAAAAAAATTGTAAAAAAATTTGTAACTTTTTTTTTAAAAAAAATCAGTAAAAAAATCAGTAAAAGAATCTGTAAAAAGATATGTAAAAAAATTTGTAAAAAATTTTGTTAAAAAACACATAAAATGCAGGGAGAGGGGGGAATCGCAGGGGGGGTGGGGGAATCGCAGGGAGAGGGGGAATCGTAGGGGGGAATCGGAGATGGAAGGGAGGGGAGAACACAACTGCGACAGATGCTGCCGGCGAGCAGGGTGTGTGGTGGCGACTGGCGAGGAAGACCCGTAGAAGTTTAGAAGAAGGAATGGGAGGAAACCCGGAATGAGAGGAAACCCGGATATAAGCGGGGAAATGGAAAAAGCCTGAAACATGTAATCCAAAACTTAAAAACAGGGAAAGGGAATGAATTTTTTTTAAAAAACAAACCACAACAAAGGGAATGGGGGAATCCCATTCCATTTCCCCATTCCCTTACCCCCGAACCAAACGCCCCCTCAGTCTTTATACTATTTATTTTTATACAATTGGGTCTTTCTCTTCACATGATTCTTATATATTATCCCAAATTTTTAACGATGACATTCAATTTTACTATAGATGACATGAAATTCTTGTTCAACAAAATAAATCATACATTTAATCAAATTTTAGTCATTATATAATAAAAAGTTTTGTGTCTAATTTTTTTATAAAAGAAAATAAATAAAAGATGTATTTTTTTTAGTAAGAAAATTTTTTTTCAAACAATAAGTATGAGTTAACATGTCAATACAACTGATGGGCTGGTACCTGACGGGTCCCAAACCATGTGCCGAAACGCGTTTGAGTATCCGCAGAAGTGTGGAATCAGCCTTAGGCCGGCCCAAAGTCCTGGGTCTGAGCTGACACAGACCAGAGCACCGTGGAGAGTCCGTCTCCAAGAAGTATGACGCGGCTAGGTTGCGAAAAAAGAGCAGAAGAAGGAAGATCGCGCAAATCACGGGATTAGTTCCCATAATCGACAAACTACCGTAACGGACATGTATAAATAGAGGGTGATGGAGTAAATTACCACGCAAACACTAAGTAAAAGTAATCGGAAGGGCTGTAGGTGGAAACACCTGTAACCCGGTTTGTTATTGATAATGCTGGGACTATTACAAAGTACAAGCCGGCCGTGTAGGTTTATTCAAAACATACCTCACAAATGAGGATTTTAGGGGTATTTATAATAAAGCTAAGCACGTCAAGCACGTCTCTGGTTATCCAACCGGTCAGCCTTCTGACCGGTCCCATAGAGCACCTGGAGAGCCCGGTCTGAGGAAAGTGCACTCTGCCACTTCGACCACCACCCAGTCGGACGAACCAACCGGGTGGCATCCATGGGTTATTACCCATCAAGGAGTCCTCTGATTCCCGGTCCTGTGGGGACCATTAGGAGCGGGAAGCACATGCGATTATCTTTTGAAATTTGAACTCCCCAGTCGCTTTTTGGCGGGAAAATGGTCTCGGAAAACCAGCTCCTAACCCAAAATATTTGAAATTTGAAATTTGATTTTTGAATTTTCAAAAACCGGGCGTCCAAAGCGGGAGAATCTTCCCGAAATCGGGTTCAGAGCCGCCGATTTAATGTGCCGTTTCGTCTCCCCGAGAGGTTATGATGGCAAATCATTTCAGCTGCCACGTGTCATTTCCTTATTCGCCCGTCTGGGCGGAATCTCTCCTATATAAAGCGTCGTTCTCCTTGGAATTTCTTCACTTGCAAATCTTCGATTCAAAAAACTTCCCGGCTGCTTCTACTATTCCCGAGTCCTCCGAGTCTTCTAATCGTTTTCCAAGTAAGTCTCTCCTTCCTTTTCTGAGTCATGTCAGACCGTGAGGATAGCCAGAACCCTTCCGTTCATTCCTACGGTTCTGGTGGCCGGTCTCCAACCTTCGGTTCCTCTTCTTCTTCTTCATCCTCCGACTCCGAGCGCCCGGCTACTTCTCCACAGAAGAAGCCGGTTGTTGCTTCCACTTGCGCTCCTTCTTCTTCCGTGGCGCAAGTGGCCTCGGTTGCCCAGTCCGAGGACGAGGGCTTCATTCCGCTAGACGACCGGTTGCTCCAAGAGCAACCGTCGTACATGCAGAAGCCCCAAGTCCACGAACTGCGCAATCTGATGCCCGATGGGTATCAATTGACCTACCGGGCAACATGGAAGAGCATTATACCTCTCCACACCGGTACGTCGATTGGTATCCATTACCATTCGATCAAGGACTTGGGTGAATTCTCCATTCATCCATTCAAAGTCCTTTTCCTTGAGACGTACGGAATCATGCCCGGGCAGTTGGCCCCAAATGGTCACCGTTTGCTGGGCAGTTTCATTAATGTATGCCGGTTTCTCCGTATTCCTCTTTCTCTTCGTCTCTTCGATCACATGTTCGATGTCCGGCCCGGGTCCAAGGAAACCCTTGGATTCGTGGTGGTGTCTTCCCACCAAGGCCGGACATTCCTTTGTGGCCTTCCTCCTTCTAACAAGAAGTGGAAGGACAAATACGTGTCCATCAAGTTCCCCCCCGGCTGCTTTTCCTTTCGCCCAAAATGTCTGGGGGAAAAGAATGAGGCGCCAGGTAAAACCTGCGGAGGTCGATGACCTGGTTGCTTGGGAGGCCACTCTCCGGGCCGGGGATGCCTCCACCTGCGGCCTTTATCACGTCGGGAAGTGGGGCGTCTACCCCGGCCGGGAGACTGATCCCGAGCCGGAGATTGTTCTGCCTGGGGTAATCCCCGAAGCTATCCCCATCAGTCGGGCGAGGGGATCCAAAGCTCTGGCCACAACCACCGCCGGTCCTTCACGCCCGGCGAAGAAGAAGAAGGAAAAGGGTCAATCACCGTCCTCGTTTTATTTGAATTAATTTATTCGCAACTTCATTCTTCTAACCGGTTTCTTTTTTGTTTTAGTGGTGAAGTTCCAGTCCAAATTCCCAATCCCTAAGGTTGTGGTCGAGGAGCCCTCCTCTGCCCAGCCACTCACTCCTCCGTCTAGCCAACCGTTCCTGCTGGACGAGCAGCCGGCTCGATCTCACCAAGGGACCAGCCAGCCCATTCACTCGGGGGAACTCTACATCAATGTAGATACCTTCGAGTTCGACACCCTGATGGGGGAGAATGGGCATACCTCCCATGCCGGCCAAGCGGGTCATCCCAACGTGGATGGCGAAGGCGAAGAAGAGGCTGCTGAAGAGTCCCTTCAGCAGAAGAGGCGGAAGACCGAGGAGGTCAACCAGCCATCCCGTCCGGGGCCCCAGTCCTCCGACGCTGGCAAGGGACCCATCGTACCCCGATCTATGGCCTTGATGTCCCGGTCGGACGAAGAGCTTTTCCAAGCTTTTCGTACCGACCTAAATGAGGTAATAGTTCTTTTTACCGTCCTCTTATTGCTTTCGACCTTGTTTCTGAAATTTTTCATGTCTTTAAAGCAGGTTGGTCGGATTGGTGAGGAGTATTTCGCGCGGCTGGTGAAGTCTAAAGAAGAGGAGAAGGCCCGGATGGAGGCCATGATGGTGCAGTGCCGGAAGGAAGCCCAGGCTGCCCAGGCCAAGGCAGAGAAAATAGAGGCGAAGTGGACGGAGCATTGCCGGGTCTACCGCGAACTCTATGCCAAGCACGATGGTCTCCTCAAGGCTGCAAAAGAGGCCGACGAGCAGGCTCAGGCTAAGATCCAGCAGCTAGAGGCCGAGAACGCCCGGGCTGCTGAAGAGAACCAGAGGCTAGGGGATGAGAACGCCCGATCTGCTGAGGAGATCGCTCGGCTGGGAGATGAGCTCCAGAAGGAGCAGTCGGAGCGCGCCGCCCTTGTTGCTGCCTGGGCTACTCAAGCGCCGGAGGAGTTCGCAGCTAAGGCGCTGCCTGACCGGGAGACTGCCATCCGCTTCTTCCAAGGCTTGTACAAGTACGAGGTCTCGGCCGGGATCGTCGACGAAATCGGAACGTACGGCTTTGAAAGCGGCCAGTACTCGGAGCGGAAGGCCCTCTACGGCATCCTTCAGCAGAGGATCCAAGGTTTCCAGCCGAAGGCTCTCTCTCTCTGCCCGAGCTGCACAGCGAGGCGCCTGAACCTCCCTTCCCGGGCATCTGAACCATCCGACCTTCTCTCTTTTCTTTTTTATTTTATGATGTAATGATATGCCTCCGGGCATTTTTGTAAGACTGAAAAATTAATGAAAATATGCTTTTTGTTATGTGCTGAGTGCTTTTTCCATAAATTTTTTTTTACCTTAGATTCTTTGACCGTTTAGATTAGTAAATAACAGCCCGGCTGTATCTACCCGGCTTGAAATTCAATTTTACTCAAGTCTTTTCGAAAGACTGGATAGTCGGCCGGGAAGAGTTTAAGTTTTTATAAACTTCCTCCCGGTTTAGTATGACCCTTGACGGCGTATTGACTTGTCCTTTTCGAAAGGTTAATCATGTGCCCGGGCTCTCGTAAGGCCGACCTGTTTTCACAATGGCTTTACGCCCTTGTGGAAAGGTAAACCTTAAGTTTTTCTTCCAAACATCTGGCTTAAACTGGCCGGGATGCTCTCCCATTAGTTAAGCCAAATAGTTTTTAACTCCCGTGTCAGTACGGATAAGGTATAGAATCGGTCAGACCGGTCTCTTTTTTTTTTTTAGATGTCCAATTCGATTGGACATCTAACCGGGTAGATTGTCACGTGACGAATCACCGACTGCTGCATGCGAACAATCTTTCTGAAAAGAGTAAAGTTTTATTAATGACCGGGAACTCATTAGACTTTCTCTAAAGAATTTACGCAAGTGGTGAGAGTTCCAGTGTCGCTCAACCCGGCCACCTTCCATTGTTTCCAACTGGTAAGTGCCCGGTCTCACGATTGCTTTTACGCAATAGGGCCCCTCCCAGTTTCGTGCCAGCTTGCCCCTTTCATTAGGCTTACTAGCATCCCTTCTGCGCAAGACTTCATCATGCACTTGGAAGTATCGCGGCCCTACCCGGTTGTCATGATACCGCTTTACTGACTGCTGGTAACCGGCCATCTTGACTGCATCTATGGTCCTTCGTTCTTCAACCAGATTCAGTTCAGCCAGGTGGTCGATCTCGTTAAGACCGGGCTGGTAGACGATTTCTCTGAATGTCGGAATTTCTGCCTCTACTGGTAACCGGGCTTCGCATCCGTAAGTTAGCACGAAAGGAGTCTCTCCAGTTGCTCTTCTTGAAGTTACCCTGTGCGCCCAGACCGTGTGAGGCAAGGCTTCTAACCACTTGTTTCCTTCCTCACCCAGCCTCTTTTTTAAACCGTCCACAATTGTTCGGTTAGCGTTTTCGACTTGGTCATTTCCCTGTGGGTATGCTACCGAGGCCTTGCTGTGCTTGACCCCGAAGCTAGCAAGGTATGCAGTGAACCGGGGATTGCGAAACTGGGGTCCGTTGTCGGTGACAATGAATTTAGGGGCACCAAACCGGGTGATAATGTTTTTCCAAACAAATTTCTCACACTGCCGTACGGTTATGGTGGCCATCGCCTCAGCCTCAATCCATTTGGTGAAGTAATCAATAGCCACCATCACGAACTTCTTACCGCCTTGAGCAACCGGGAAGGCTCCAATAATGTCAATCCCCCACCGGGCAAACGGTATGACATTAGAGGTTGGTTGGTAATAAGTGGCCGGTCTGCCAGGCTGTTTGTAAAAAACCTGGCACGTCCTACATCTCTGGACATACCTCTCACAGTCCCCCACAATGGTCGGCCAATAGTAGCCTAGCAAGATGATCCTTTGAGCCAAAGTGCGGGACATTTGATGGGCTGCACAAACTCCCTCATGTACCTCGGCAATTACGCGTTCAGCCTCCGGGTTGGTGAGGCAACGCAAGAGTGGTCCGCCAATGGCACGTTTGTATAGATGACCATCGATTACCTGGAAACGTGGAGCCCGTAGGACCACCTTCCTGGCTCGTTCCTCGTCATCAGGCTTCTGACCGGTCTCCAAATACTCCATGAGTTCGTATCTCCAGTCATCGTCTGCTCCGATTATCCCGGTCGCTGAAGTCTGGCCCGGTTGGATGGTCGCGACTTCAAACCGGTCTGTACTCGGTACGTCTAGTATCTCAATTTTCGCCAATTTTGACACATGCTCTGGGCAAGCTTGCGTCAATTTTGAAAGCATGTCTGCATCAGCGTTTTCCGACCGGGGTATCCTAGTCAGACGAAACTCTTCTAATTCCCTTAGAAGCGCTCGGACCAGATCACTATACCGGGCCAGGCGATCCTCTTTTACCTCCATCTCACCATTGACTTGCCCGACTACTAGACTTGAGTCGGAACGGATCTTCATCCTTTTTATTCCGAGCGCCCGGGCTAATCTGAGACCACCGGCGAGCGCCTCATACTCCGCCTCATTGTTGGTGAGCTTGAAGTTGAAAATCAGGGCATGGTAGATCTTGAATCCCTCCGGGGTAGTGAAGACTACGCCGGCACCGCATCCCTTCGGTCCAGAGGCCCCATCAACGGTCATATCCCACCACGGTTCGACCGTATGGGAAGGTCCGGCTTCGGGCTCTAGACCGGTCAGTTCAACGAGGAAGTCTGCCAAAGCTTGACCCTTGATTGCAGTCCTTGGTTTATATTCTATTTTGAACTGAGTGAGCATCATCGCCCACTTGATCAACCTTCCCGAGGAGGTTGAGTTTCGAAGGATCGGTCCAAGCGGCTGATCGGTCAGTACTTCCACAGTATGAGCTTGGAAGTATGCGGTCAGTTTTTTGGCCGTTATGAAAAGCGCGTATGCCGTTTTCTCAATGGCAGTATACCGGCTTTCAGCCCCATTCAGTGCTTTGCTCACATAGTAAATAGGCCTCTGGCCGTCTTCATTTCTTATTAAAACAGAGCTTACAGCGTTTTGGGAAATCCCCAGATACAAGTACAAAATCTCACCCGGTTTGGGTTTTGACAAAACAATATCTGAGACTAAGTACTCCTTCAGCTGCTGGAAGGCTTCCTCGCACTCCCGGTCCCACTCGAATGTATTAGCCTTCTTCAGAACTTTGAAGAAGGGCAGAGCCCTCTCAGCAGACCGGGAGAGAAAACGACTCAAGGCTGCCAACCGCCCGGTAAGCCGTTGTACGTCCTTCAGCGAACTGGGCGACCTCATTTCAGTTATGGCCTTGATCTTCTCCGGATTAGGCTCAATTCCACGCTTGGTCACCATGAACCCCAGAAACTTACCGGTCTTTACAGCAAAGACGCATTTCTTGGGGTTGAGACGCAAGTTGTACTTAGCCATAATCTCGAAGCAAAGCCTCATGTCGGCCAGGTGGTTCTCCGCACCCGGGCTCTTGATCAACATGTCATCCACATAGGCCTCCATGGATTTACCGAGGAGTGGCTTAAAAAGCCGGTTTATCATCCTCTGGTAAGTGGCGCCCGAATTCTTCAGTCCAAAAGCCATCACCCGGTAATAATAAGTGCCTTCTGGGGTCAAGAAGGAAGTCTTTTCCTCGTCCTCCTCAGCCATGAAAATCTGATGGTAGCCTTTGAAAGCGTCCATGAAGCTGAGCAATTCACACCCGGCCGTCTCATCGACCATCTGATCGGGACTGGGCAGCGGGTATGAATCCATGGGGCATGCCTTGTTCAGGTCGGTGTAATCCACGCACATGCGCCAGGTATCTCCCTTTGGAGCCAAGACTACGTTTGCTAGCCAGGCCGGGTATTGCACTTCTCTTATGTGCCCGACTGCCAACAAATCCCTCACTTCTTTCTTCACAAAATCCCTCCGGACATTCGCCAAGTGCCTCTTTTTTTGTTTCACAGGCTGGCTTCCTTCCATCACAGCCAAACGATGGCATATGACAGAACGGTCAATACCCGGCATGTCCGCCACACTCCAAGCAAAAATATCTGCATATTCCCGAAGGACCGAGATGATTTCATCTCGAAGTCCTCCGGGCAGATCTCTGCCAATCCTTACCATTCTTTCCGGGAAGGCTTCCCGGAGAACAATCTGTTCGGTTTCATCGCCCGGTTCCAGCTTTGACCGGTCTTCTTCCTGGGAGACCAAGGTGATCCTTTCGAACGCCTTGGTCATTTTCTTTACAGCTTCCAAATAACAATGCCGAGCCTTCTTTTGATCCCCTCTGACTTGTCCTATGCCGCCCGGGGTATAGAACTTTATACAGAGGTGGGCCATGGAGATGACCCCTCGAACCTTGTTTATCCCAGGCCAGCCCAAAATAGCGTTGTGAACACATTTGATGTTCACAACTACAAACCTCATTTGCTTTTGGACGACCTGGTCGCCTGTGCCCAGCTCACAAGTTAGAAGAATCGACCCTTCAGCTTCGACTGAGTCCCCGGTAAACCCAGACAGGGGAGTCTTTAAGGGCTCAAGCCGTGTTCGACACAACTTGAGCTTCTCAAATGCCTCCAGGTACAAAATGTTAACACTGCTGCCCGTGTCAACAAGTACTCGGGAGACATCAACTCCACCCATGTCCATAGTTATTACCAGGGGTCATTGTGATCTTCTCCGGTGGCGGGAAGGTCCCGGTCAGTAAAAGTGATCGGTTCCCGTCTTGCTTGTTTTGACCGGGGATTGAGGGCTACCGTCCCCACGTAGAGCTCTCTCCCCCACTTCTTCCTTTGGGAAGCAGAATCTCCCCCTTCCGGTCCACCGTAGATGACCTGTAAATGCTCCTTGCCGGCTGCTTTCTTCTTCTTGTTCTGTTCGGCCGGCTGTCCTTCAGGCCTAACCCATTGATTCCTCTTTGGTTTGGCCTGAGCCAGGTACTCAGGATCGATCTCCCCGGCCTCGATCATCTGCTTTATTACTCCTTTCACACTGTTACACTCTGCAGTGTTATGGGAGTCAGTTTTGTGAAAAGAGCAATACTTCTCCGTCCACTGTTTCTCGCCGGTTTGTTTCTTCTCTGTTTTGACCGGCTTTACCTCCATGATTTCAGCTTTCACCTTACCGGGCAATCCAATCTCCTTTTTCAAAGAAATCTTTCCTTTTGAATAGCCCTGCTCGGCCTCCCGCTTGGTTGACATCTGTGCCTCAGCGTCAGCATAATCCCAGGCCGTGTTATAGGCCTCTTGGTAGGACTGGGGAGGCCTCCTGCAGAAATCTTTGTAAAGCTCTCCGGACCGGAGCCCGGACACAAGGAGGGACATGGCTGTTTTGTCGTCCATCTCCTCCACCTTGTCAACATCATCCTTCCACCGGGTAAGAAATTTTGTCAGATCCTCGTGCTCTCGCTGCCCGGCTGTACTCAAGTAGGTGAATTTTTTCCTCTTGGTACAATTTTCCTTAAACTTTTCTTGAAACACCTCAGCCAGTTCATTGAAAGAATCGATTTCACCGGCCGGTAAGTTATGAAACCACTCGGCGGCGCGGTCGCGGAGGGTTTGAAAGAAAAGCAAACATTTCTCATCCCCGGAAAGACCCATCATCCGCCCACTTTGATGGAGGGTTTTGACGTGAATTTCCGGGTCCTCCTTCCCGGTGAACTTCGGGACTTCAAGTTTCGCCTTCTTTGGAAACGGGGTCTCATGAACCCGGTCTGTGAACGGAGATTCGTTCAGCAGAATCTTCTTCTTTTCTTCCCGGTCTACTCGGCGTTGCAGTTTCTCCAGACGTGCCTCGACCCGGCCCACACGATCCCGAGGTTGTTCAACATGAGAACGGGTCAGATGCCTGGGGTGGCTTTCGGCTTCTTCCTCCCGCGGCGCCCGACTGTGCTGGGGCTCATCGCGTGGGGGTGGTTCCGTTCGCCTGGTCTGACCAGGTCGTCTGGCTCCTTTTCCCGCACGATTAAAGGCACTAGTCGGGATGGTTTCCACTCCCAACCGTTCCTTTGCTGACCGGTTTTGATTTCGGCCATCGTGTCCAGCCTTTGGAAGGCCGACCTCCTAGATCCTTCTGGTTGAACATCCTTCCCCTTCAATTTTTTGAGCGCTTGGGGGACGTCCCAGTCCTCGTCCTTGCTGTGGACTGAACGCACATTCCCGTCCGAGGTCACCTTTGTTTGTGACCTACGGGACCGGCTTCTTCTAGACCGGGATGGACCTGCTTTATCCATCTCCCCGATCAGGTTTGTCGGGACGATCGGGCGAATGACGTTAGTTTGAGGCGAGGATTGTGGATACATTCCCGGATTAAAAGGTGAAAATCCTCCCGGCTGCTGGAACATGGACATGAAATGTTCAAAATTCTGAAGAGCCTGGGTATACATTGGATCAAGGGGTCCGGGAAAATTTGAAGGAAAAACAGGAACAGGGTTCACGGGGGAAGTGAATGGGATAGGTGGTGGAATGGTGATAATGGGGGTAAGAGTCTGGCTTGCCTGTTGTGTACTTCCTCCCGGGAACGAAGTTATGTTCTCAGCGGGAGTAGAAATTTGTGAGATCACGGTTTCCTGATTACTGGCCATGACTTTTTGTAATGGGTCCCACGGTCGGCGCCAATTTGATGGAGTAAATTACCACGCAAACACTAAGTAAAAGTAATCGGAAGGGCTGTAGGTGCAAACACCTGTAACCCGGTTTGTTATTGATAATGCTGAAACTATTACAAAGTACAAGCCGTGTAGGTTTATTCAAAACATACCTCACAAATGAGGATTTTAGGGGTATTTATAATAAAGCTAAGCACGTCAAGCACGTCTCTGGTTATCCAACCGGTCAGCCTTCTGACCGGTCCCATAGAGCACCTGGAGAGCCCGGTCTGAGGAAAGTGCACTCTGCCACTTCGACCACCACCCAGTCGGACGAACCAACCGGGTGGCATCCATGAGTTATTACCCCTCAGAGGGGATCCGAACGGAAAACCTCAAGCTGAACCTAGTGTATAATTTCACAATTCTCGATTTTCGCTTCTCAATTGTTCTTACGATCCGCCCATTAAGTCGACTTATTTGGTGGAATTCTTGTCCATCAACAACAGTTTCATGTCATCTATAGTAAGACTGACATCATGTTAAAAATTTGGTATAATATACAAGAGAGAAGTGCAGAAAAGAAACTTATTGAACAAAAGTAAATAGTATAGGGACTAAATTTATTCAATTTTGAGTACAGTGACTAATTTAAATATTTTTAGATATTAGGACATATACGATATGATATACTTTGTCCTCGATACTTCTCATGTCCTAGAAATATCGTCTTCCTTAGTACTCCCTCCGTCCAAAAAAGAACTTCCCGGTTTGACCCGGCACGCACTTTAAGAAAAGTTGAAATTGTCTTTGACTTCCCCATATTACCCTTACAACTACTCTCTTCCTCAATCCTCACCTCCCTCTTTGAACAGTCCGTCTAAACCTTGATTTCGAATCTGGTTCTGTAAGAGATGTGTGTTGGCGACACAAATCTGAGCCGGCTGGGTTTGGTGGTGACTAACGAGGTTGGATGTGGTGGTGATGGAGATGATACTACATTAGATCTGTCCGGATCTGACCACCACACACCTCCGACCACCGCCTCGGTTTTCCGGTGCTCCCAATATTGGGTGACGGGACAAAATCAGAAGGGGGAGGAAAAAGAAAAGAAAGAAGAAGAAGAAGAAAAGAGAAAAGGAAGAAGAAGAAGAAAAGAGAAAAGGAAGAAGAAGAAAAGAGAAAAGGAAGAAGAAGAATAGAGAAAAGGAAGAAGAAGAAGAAGAACGGAGAAGTGAAGAAAAGAAGAAAAGAAAGAAGAAAGGAAGAAATGAACGGATGTGGTTGGGTGAAAAGATAAGGGAGAGAGAGAATGGAGAAAAAAAATAAGGGAAGAGTGAATGGAGGGTAATTAAGTCTTTTTAGTATTAAAAAGTTTCCAAAAAAGGAAACGGGAAGTTTATTTGTAGACGGACGAAAAAAGGAAAGTGAGAAGTTTTTTTATGGACGGAGGGAGTATTATGATATGACGACCAATTCTTTCATACATATATTTTCATTAATCACTTTATAAAACAAAATATTATGCCATATTTTAATATCTTGTTTTATAGACTTTTAGAGCATGTTTTTTAGAGTTTAAACTCTATATTTCTAATTTCTTCCAGTTCCTTTTAATTTCTTCCAGTTTTTTTAGTTTCTTCTATTTGCTTTCAGTTTCTTTTATTTTTTTAGTTCCTTCTAGTTTCTTCCATTTTTTCCAGTTTCTCTAAGTTTTCCAACTATTCCCATTTTCATTTTTTTTACTCCAAAATAATTACTATAAAAATGATATGTTTTTCATGTATTATTATTACTATTTTAACTCATGTACATGAAAGGTAACCATTGTTGGGAGGACAACAGAAATACAAAAATTTAAGTTCCCAATAGTGATTACTAGCCCAAGAATACGTACTAAAACTATAGCTAGAGATGGAAATTTATACTTTCTCTGGTCAAGCGGTATGAACGTGAAGTCGAGCAAAAATGTTGAAGGAGCAAGCGTAGCCATTCAAGCCTCCGGCCTCTAACTTTTACACATGAACAATCTCCGGAGTCTACCCTAATACTTGTTCTAGCAAGTGTTAAAGTAGTATATTAAAATATAAAGATTATTCTAGGGATAATAATAATAATCTTGTATATATTAATAATAGAAAATTTATCAATAATAGTTTAGATAATATTATGATACATAATTTCTAGACTTAGAATGATATCAATGATAATTTCTACACTTAGAATTATTTCCAGTTTCTTCCATTTGATTTCAGTTTCTTCTAATTTTTTTAGTTCCTTCTAGTTTCTTCCATTTTTTCAGTTTTTTCAAGCTTTCCAACTATTCCCATTTTCATTTTTTTACTCCAAAACAATTACTATAAAAATAATATGTTTTTCATGTATTATAATTACTATTTTAACTCATGTACATGTTACATTACCCAAGTGCGAATTCTTATTTAGAAAATAAAAATGTTAAAGAGCATCCCACATCAGAAAAGTGTGAAGAAATTGTCTTATTACCCAATCCAGTTGTCCATACCCCATCCTAAATTCTATCATGGTATCAGAGCCTCGTTGAGTAAGAGGTCACGGGTTCGAAACTCAGCGCCACCAGTTTAAAAAAATTAAGGTTTCACGTGCAAGGCTTAAAGAGGTCACGCCTGCACGTGAGGGGGCGTGTTACAGTATATAACAATCATTCATGGGCCACAACCACAAGCTTGAGCTTTTGGTTGAGTTGGTTCCTTGACATGGTATCAAAAGCCAGTTTTAGCCCACCTCGTTTGTCAAGGTGTCCGTCTAGACGTTCATTCCTAGCGGCCCGTTTGTCTTTAGCCCAGTTGTCCGTATGGAGTATGTACCCAACGGCCTGTGGCCTGTTTAACACGATTGCTCGTCTGGAAGTCCATACCCAGCGTCTCGTGGTTATTTAGGTGTTGGCGCTCAAAAAAAAGTTAAGGGAATGGGAGTTCATTTGCAAGTGGTCAATCGGTTAGATTCAAAATGGCCCGGTTGTCCACTTGAGGGGGAGTGTTAAAGAGCATCTTACATCGCAAAAGTGTGAAGAAATTGATCGGTATATAAGCTCTTGAGTTAAACTAACTAATCGATTGGATTCAATCTTTTAATGTGGTTCAACCCAAGTGTCTTATTACCCAATCCAGTTGTCCATGCCCCATCCTAAATTCTATCAAAAAATATAGAACTTCTATTCTAGTACTTTCTCTATGTTTTACTCCTATACACTCCCCCTCAAGTTGAGCATGAGGTTAACGAATGCACAACTTGGACAATTAAAACAGTTCTAAGACTAAAAACAACTTGATAAATAACTTGAACTTGATCTGCTGTGACAACAACGAACGAAGGTGACCGGCCCTGCAAACGAACAATAAATTTTGATGACGAATGACTCCCACGCGGTGACACGGGGACGACTAACAAGCATCCCAAACTTGGAAGTCATGCTGCCGGACTGAGGCGCGACTATGCGACCAACCTCACAAACAAATATGTCGAACTGAGGCGCGACTATGCGACCAACCTCACAAACATGTCGAACATACAAATGGTTGCACTTGAACATACCAAATAACAACCAAAAACAAAGTCGCCAATAACGTCGATCAAAACTGGCTCTGGTTGAAAACCTTCTTCGTGATGTAGGAGCACAGAATAAACAAATTCAAATAATCACTTTGGTAGACTAACAGTGGCATGCCGATCAAAGATAGAACTGAGCAGCAACAATAATTTGGGACTTTGGTGCCGACGGAACCTACCAAAAGCACTGCCGGGGAAGACATCTTCAGCGGCGGCCAAACTTTGACTCTAGTCTAGACAGATCTGAATTTAATAGCAGAACAAATACTCGAGACAGTTTTTTTTTTTTTTGAAAACCTTGAGACAGATTTTGGTTGAGAGATTAGATATGTCACCGTCGCCGGACAAACCACCGGCGACGGCGACAACGGAAGCAACAGATTAGAGCAGAATAGGGTTTAGGTTCCAGATTGGCTCTGATACCATGTAGAAATATAATTAGAACTGAACTTGGATAAATACATTGATCACAAACGCCTTATTTATACAAAAATAACTCTAACCTAATCACAAGCCCACTAACAGGCCCAATAATATCAAAACCTAATTACATCCGCTAATACTCCCCCTCAAGTTGAGCATTATGTTAACGAATGCACAACTTGGACAATTAAAAAAAACTAGGACTAAAAAAAACTTGATAAACAACATGAACTTGATCTGCTGTGACAACGACGAACGAAGATGACTGGCCCGGCACGAACAATAAATTTTGATGACGAATGACTCCCACGCGGTGACACGGGGACGACTAACAAGCATCCCAAACTTGGAAGCCGTGTTGCCGGACTGAGGCGCGACTATGCGACCAACCTCACAAACTGATATGTCGAACTGAGGCGCGACTATGCGACCAACCTCACAAACAAACATGCCGAACATACAACGGGTTGCACTTGAACATACCAAATAGCAACCAAAAACAATGTCGCCAAAATGTCATCAAATTTCGATGAACAGTAGAGTGAACATAAAAACCTTCTTCCTCAAAGCACGAACAAATCAAACCAATACCAATACCAATCTAAAATTGCCAAACACCAATAATTGAAGTTGCTGCTAAATCCACCAAAATCAGCGAACAGAACCGAAACATCACTGATAGCCAAACACTCGCCAATTGATTATAAATGACTCACTGCTGCAAAATTAATGAAACCAGATTTTTTTTCCCTTTTAAAACAAAGGAAAGACCACTACATGCTAGTATACCACTATCCTTTGATGACACCTTCGTGGCAAAAAAAAATTGGTATACTAGGCACCATACGGATAATTAATTAGCCAAGAAGAGACTAATTTGAATTTGATAAAGGTTGAAAATTTCTGAATACGACACCAGACAGAATGAGTAGTTTGATGGCGGCTATAAAAAGAACAATCTGATTCCAGATCCGCCACGCTAGTTAAATGAAACTTTGAGGCGGCCGAATGAATGAAGCAATTCCCGAGACTTTAACAGAGGCGATTGGCAACAAACGACTAATTGACAAATCTAATTGTCAGCAAGGTGCAGCACCGCAAGATCTTGGACGGCAAAAAAAAGGACGAGAAAACAAGGTGAAGGGAAAAGATGGTGACGCCGCCGTCGCCGGACAAACCATCGGCGACGGCGACACCGGAAGCAACAAATTAGAACAAACTAGGGTTTAGGTTCCCAAGTTGGCTCTGATACCATGTAGAAATATAATTAGAACTGAACTTGATGATTTGATTACAAATAGATCTGCCATTTATAATAGCTACGAGACTATGACCTAATTACGAGCCCAACAAGAATGAGCCCGTTAACACAAACCCTAATGCATTCCCTAACACCTGGTCTCGATATTTACCTTTGAGAAAAATAAATGCACGTGCAGGTAGGGTTTTTAAAAATACCAGCTCTATTCTTTGTCACTCTATGAATATAACTCAATTTACTTTCTCTATGATAATCGTCGAGCCGATTCTGAAGAGATGCCCGGAATGAACTCATCTTTTTTAGAGATAAAAATGAATAAATTTGAGAAATAAAAAATGAGATGTGATCAAGGGTTTAAGAAGGATGGATCTTTATGAAAAAGAAACCTCCGTACTATCCATTATCTAAAATATCTCAGCAATCCCGAGGTAAAAGTGAAAAGTTAAAACTAGAGGAGAGGAGGGCCGGCAGCTTCTTTCAAGTCTTCAGATTTGGAGCCCCAACCCCCTCACATCAGACCGTTCCCTTTTGTTTGTTTATTCATTAATTTTCACTCCCGTCAACCACCCAAAATCAAATTCAATCATTTTACATTTTTTTTATACTCCTTTGCCCTCGAATTCC